AGAAATGCGGAGGGGTTTTTTCTCTCATTCGCCATGCGGTAACAAACATTGCATGAAAGATACACGCTTCCAGCTATTCCTTGAATCAAATATCTCGTTTGTCATGAGGGGCATGAATGAAATTCCTGAATGAAAGAGCCAAACAGCAGTTAAAGTCCACCATTTAATAATTTGGCAAATGATTTGATTACTGATGTCCATCAGTAAACACAGTCACTGTCTTTCTCCTCTGCGTCTGTGTTTGTTTTGCCGGTGTGAATATCAGCACGTGCCCAAATTGACACTCACCTTTTTATGCAAATTTTTATGGACCTTGACTTTTTCCCTCCTCCAACACGCCCAGTTTCCTGACTTTTTTCAAAGTAGAGGTGTGAAAACACCCTGCTGAAACAAGGGGGTTTCATAGCCCTTTAATCAAAATTATCCCTAATTTCATTTTCTCCCTCAGGATGGCGCTGTTTCCCGTCTTTCTGAGCTTCTCTATCACAACTTTGGTTGGTAACGCTATTGCCTTTGCTACAGGAGTTCTGTACGGACTTGCGTCTCTTGGAAAGAAGTGAGTCTATATTTGCATCTATTTTTAACAGTTCTTAACCAAGTTACTTTTGACTCTTGCCATATCAAGGCTTGTGCTCTGTTTTTCAGAGGAGACGCTGTGAGTTACGCCCGATTGCAGCACCAGAAACAGGGCGACGAGGAGAAACTAGCAGGAACGACGGAGGAGTCTGTGCCCTGAATCTTCTATTCACCTCCTCTACCTCCAATGCACCCTTTTTTACGGTGGCCGAGAGAGCTCAAACACGCTGCAAGTTAAGAAAACAAATGCAAATAGAAAAACAAGAAAACATCTTTATCAGTTTGACAACACACACACACACTCAAACACTCACAATACATGCAAATATAGAAACACACTGCAGATAATGCAGACCACAATGGAAATGTGTTGGGGGACAACAAAAAGTGACAAACCCAGCTACTTCCTGTTTAGAGTCAAGCGTGTTGTTGAAGATCTGAGAGTTTTTTTTTGCACAAATGACATTAAAAAAATTTTATCTTAATGCCATGTTAGAGTTAGTTTTATAACTGAAAATATACAAACCACAAGAAGCCGTATGATAAAATTAGTTACAAAGGACGTTTAAATAAACTAAAAACTCACCTCTTAACAACACAGCTGACTCTAAACAGGAAGGATTCGTCACATTTTAGGGTCCTCTGACACATTAAGGCTGATTTATACTTCTGCGTCAAGTGCACACATATGGTCCGACGTAGCCCTTGTGTGGTCGCAGACCCATAACTGATGCTGACGTGCATCCCTCAAAAAATGTAACTACACGTCGCAACGACATGTAACGCAAGCTATGTGATTGGTTGGTTGGGTATCGGTGATGAGTGTGGACAGAGCTGCGAGCCAGATGGAGCAAGTGTCGAGTCCCGTGAAGGAGCTCCACATGCAAACTTTTGTTTTGTGTTTACCTTATGATTAAAGATGTTTCACGTCCGCGGTTCCGGCCTCTGAATGAGCAAGTTTTAGCTACTTGTACGTTAATGTTCAGAAAAAAAACTCGACACAGAGGAACATGAACACCTAGTGCCAGCTAGCGTTTCAGAAGTGTTATTGCAGAGCAACACAAGCAGCGCACAGAAGTATAAATGCACAACTACGCGCAAGGCAGGCGCCGTGGGTTACGTCAATCACTCGACGCAGAAGTATAAAACGGTCTTTAGCGCTGTGCTCTGCACAATTTGCAGCACAGTTCTGTATCTGTGTCTGTTCTGAGTGTGTGTCCTTACTGTAGTGTTCACTGCTTCCAATAATCATTATTATTGGACAGTTTCCCAGTATTGGTCAAGCTTATTTCACCAACAACTTGTTTTTTTTTCCTTTTTTTTAATACATTTTATTTTTTATTTAAAAAAATGTAATGCATATATTTATAAAATTTAATTTATTATATGAATTTTAAAATTGCTGTGTTACAATAACAAGATTTGTAGCAACTCTCAACAACAGATATTATAAGTTAGATAGTTTGACCATTTTTTTTATCTGATCTTACTTATTTTGCCAGTATAACTAGCTATGTTTCCATCTAAAGATGTGAATTAAATGTATGCGCAAAACTGGAATATCGCATAAAAGAAGTGGAAACAAAGCAAAAGAGAAGTCAAAGAGAACAAAATTGTTACTTCCTGATTAACTGGCGCCAAATATCAACATTAAAAACTAAATTTGCTGCAGTAAAATCTTTTTGCTCTGGTAAAATCCTTTCTTCGTTTAATAAATGACTTGCATCTCAGAAGGCAATCCTGACATGCAATGAACACGCAGTGGCGTTTTAAAGCATGAAACACGCAGCACAGACGCTCTTCACAGACAGTTCTGGAGGTCATTAATAATATAATAACACTAATACTGAGATGGTTACAGCCTTTTAGAATGACCAAAACAACATTTCAGATGTTTTACAGTGCGCATACTAGTAAAAGTGTTTCCATTGTAGTTTATGCGCATCAGTATTTCTTATCGAATAAAAAGTTTATCTTACTCAGTTATGCCAATTTTTTTAATTTATTCGCAAATTTATTCAAATTTATATACGAAATAAAAATAGGTGGATGGAAACATAACTATTGTCGCAGTGTATTCATGTGCTGTCACTTTGTTGAAGGTGTTTTCTCTATTTGTAAGTGTTTTTCTATTTGCATTTGTTTTCTTAATGCGCAGCACATTTGTGCTCTTTCAGTCACTGTACCTTTCCCCCTTTTTGCAACAAGATGCATTTCCTAACCAATGTGTTTTACAGGATTTATTTAATCTGTTTAATGAAAACAGTTCTCCGTTTTGTTTGTGCAGGATTTATTTAACAAAAATGAGTTTTAGATGGAATATTATCAGTCACGCTCCCGTGCACACACAGCTGCTTTTCTCATTTCATTTGTTTTTATTTCACCCGGTTTGCTGTATTTAATGCATTAACGTCAACTTGACCTCAACACCAAAGCAGGGAAACACCAGAGATTTATTTCCCAGAAATCTTTGAACATTTTTTATGTTTAATTACTTTGAAGCACAGTTGTCAAAGTCAGTTCCTGGAGGGCTGCAGCTCTGCACAGTTTAGTTCCAACCCTAATCAAACACACCTGATCAAACTGAGTGCTTGAGGCTTGTTCGATACCAACAGATACGTTTGATGAAGCAGGGCTGGAACTAAACTCTGCAGGGCTCCGGCTCTCCAGGAATTAAGTCTGACATCCCTGCTTTAAAAGAACAAACTAACTAGTTTTTAATGTGTTAGCATGGTTACAAACACAGCAGGTGTGTTTTAGGGCCACTGCAGGGATATAAACAAAGCCTGTTTTTGCGTGTGTGCCTCCGCTGAAAAGGCCTTTACCCTGAAACCTTTGCTGCAGCCTGTTTGGTGTTCTTAAGTAATGGTGGAATGTATTTTGCTGCGCGCTGCTCTAAAGCCTTTGATATTTGTCGATTTGAGAGTCTGATGTGAGTGATTTAAAGTGTTTACCTTCTGTGTTTAGGAACTTGTGTGTGTTTCTGCAGTCTGAACTGTCCTCTAAAGCCATCCGTCTCTTGCTGCACTCAAGAAAAGGGCTTCTTTCTGAAATGAGAAACGACTCTGTTTGTTGAAGTTTGCTTGTTTCTGCATTTATCTGAGCCAGTCTCAACACTGACCGCTGGTACGAAAGCCAAAGGTACATTAAAAACTAGAGATAAGAACTAGAATGTGGAGGTCAGAGGTCATTCTGTCCTGTCCTTACCTTATTGTTACTGCTTTTTGTTTTTATTGGGCGAATTTCACAACGCACATGCACTGAAAAAAATTATTCATAGGATTTAATACATTTTTGTTGAAGGTAAGTGGTTGCAAGTAATTGATATGGACTGAATTTAAGCAAAGAAATATAGTTGAACATTCTTACATTTAATGTGTTTGTTTAAATTCAGCACATATAATTTTTTTTGCAACCACTTACCTGCAATAAAAATGTAGTAAATCCAATGAATCATTTTTTTTCAGTGTTTTTGGGGTTATACATCCTGTTTTTATTTCTTTTAATATATTTTTTCTTTTTTGACAGTTGAATAAAATGTGTATATTCATATAATTTAATTTATGTTTTGAATTTAGGTTGCTGTTTTACAATTACGAGCATTTCCCAACAACTATATAGATAAAATGTATAATTTGATCCTGCTTATTTTACAATATAATAATATCACAATGCATAAATTCAAAATATTTTCTTTATCCTTTTGATTTTGTAGTGACACAATGTCACCTGGACCCAGTTTTTCAAAAGTAATCCAGTGAGATTTTCGATCACAGATTGGATCAAATCGTGGAAATGAGTTTTTCAAAAGTAACTGAGGGATTTTGAATTAAGATCAGACCATCTAATACAGGGGTGTCAAATGAACGGCCTGTGGGCCACATCAGACTCACAAACCTACTGGTAAACAGGATTTGGTAATCCTGAAATTTGTGATCCAACCCAATGATCCTTTGAAGGTTCACGAAACACTCAAGTACTTTTTTGAGATTTCAACAAATTTGAGCATCAGTTAAGACAATAGCCCCTTTCACACAGTGATACCGGTAAATATCTGGAAAATTTCCGGAACGACTTTACCGGTATATTCAAAAAAGCGCTGTTCACACAGGCGAGGACGTTACGGAAATTTTCCAGAAAAGACCGTTCACACATCCATTCCAAAATACCGGTAAATTCTGACATCATGCATGTCGCATGTCGAGATGTTCATAATATGTGCGTGTGCAGGCGCTCACAGGCTGTTTTACAGGCACACGCAAAGCTTGAAGGTGAACAAACAACGGCTTTTCATAAGCATCTCATCGAGGATTATTTACACAGTTGGCATTAAGAAGAAAATATAAACTGACTAAATTATCTGACTAACTTCTAGCAGCTAAATATGTTTGGAAAAATATTCAAAGGCTTTTATTCTCACAAACCGCGCGGACGTAAATGCGTCTGACTGTTGTGATTGGCTAAAGCAGGTGTCTCACGACAGCACGTTCTAGACGTGCACGCGCTTATTACGGCAATCTTCCTTCTGCATTCACACAGCGCTGCATTCCGGCAAATTACCGGTAATGTTACAACTTCTCTTTCCAGAAAATAGCCAGAACGAATTTACCGGTATTTTCAAAAATTTCAGCTTCCGGGTTTAAAATGATTTTTGGGGCGGGATCAAAATCGGCCACTTAGCACAGAACAGTGCAAATATGACACATCGGTTTCTCATTAATATTCATAGCTAAGTTATCCTATAAGAAGAGCCTGCTTTTTAATTATTCATGACGTGCTGCTGTGTTTGCCTAAATCCTCCAGATTACCAGCAGGGCTAATGGTTAAAATAGACAGGGCAAGAGACCTGCTGCAGTCTGCATTCAGACCCAGGAATTGAGGGAAAAGTCCTCATTTATAGTGTTTATATGAACACCAACACCGAAAGTGGGAGATATCATGGCCCTTTTAAAAAAAAACTGTTCTAAAAGTAAAATAGATCAGTTAACCCTGGATAGCAAAACATGGGCTTTCCAAATCAGGACCAATTTAATCTAGATTATTTTCTTTGAAAAACTGGGCCCAGTGCATGTTTGATCCTATTAAATGCTTTCAGTAAACTCTGCATGAACGTTTAGCAGAATAAATGATGTCCAGTGGCACTACTGAGACTAGATAAAGCTCCACCAGCACACAAACCAGCTCAAAACCTCATGTCCAGCTAGTTATATTAACTATCTTTGGTCAACAATCCCTCCAGCGTCCTGTGGAGGAGTTTATAACACTTTCTTAGTAGCTAAATGTTCCATAAGGAGGAACTCTAATCTTAATATCTCAACATTTACAGTAACTATAAATAAAACACTGACTGCAAGAAGGGAAAGTATTTCAAACACCAAAACCCACAACCTAAACTGGATTATATTTATAGCTGTTACGCGGTAATTTTTGTGTCTGTGTGTGTTTGTGTTTGATCGGTGACATGGAACTGACTGACTTTGCAATGATGTGTAAAAAAGAGGTCTGAAGTTTTGTCTGTTTTTCCTCAAGAGCTGAATAAAACATGTCTTTGATCTCCTCATGTGCTTGTTCTGTTTTTGTCTAATACATTTAGATAGCTTAAATGTGATTTAATAGCTATTATGATTTAACTAAATCCCATGTGGTCAAATATTAAGACTTTAAACATTACTACCTGGTGCTTTTACAGTTTATCTCAAATGCTTTGGCTCAATTCTCCATTGAAAATTTTCTAAACAATAAGTTTCGATCTCTGAACAATTAGCTTATTTTTCACTTCAGAGTGGCATTTCTTATTGATTCAAGCAAATTGCAAATGCTTTGTGTAAACAGTAAGTACAATTGTCTGCAGTTTGGACAAAAACAAATTGCATTTGGCTTGTAGATCAAAACTGATGAGTCAGTTCTCATTTAAACTGTCAAACTCTTTACAGCGTCTCAATCATTATTCATCGTGTAAGCCATCACACTCAAAACTACTTATTTAATTATCAAACAACTGTATGCACGCGTTTACACCATAAATATCTGATATTGACATTGTAATATCTGCTAAATTGGTACATGATCTCTAGTTGCAATACAATTTGTGTTTTCTATTTATCTTTTAGATATGTGTTTGTGTGAGTACAGTTGAAGTCAGAATTATTAGCCCCCCTTTGAATTTTTTTTTTTTAATTATTTCCCAAATTACGTTTAACAGAGCAAGAAAATTTTCACAGAATGTCTGATAATATTTTTTCTTCTGTCTTATTTGTTTTATTTCGGCTAGAGTAAATGCAGGATTTTTTTAATGATTTTAAGGACAAAATTATTAGCCCCTTTAAGCTATTTTTTTCAACAACTAAGGTAGGTTTTGAAGTATGAATGAAATGTTTTGTGCAAGTAGCTACATTTTGCAGACACGCTATAAAGTTCTGAAAGTCCAGCAAACAGAATGTGAAGTTTGTTTTTAAAAATGTGCCAAAGCAATTAAGAATAAAACTGCTCAAAGACGTAACGTTAACGTACGTACTTATTCAATTGCATAATGAACTATGTGCCCCTTTACACTTACAATACTGTTTAAAGTATTTCTTTAAACATGATTCATTCTGATTATGATACTTAAGTTAGCTGTTTGATATGGTAAACAGTAACACTGCTTGTTTGTGTACATTAGTAACGTATTATTAGCCGTCTGATAATGTAGTCATGCCAACAGGTAACGCTAACGAAATAAATGATCGTTACATGTCTGACGTTGAAGAGATAACTTAACACATACAACATATTACCAAAGTCCCCATCTTCTTCTGAATCCGTTTCAACATATTAATAAACTCACTATTAGCATCTTAGCATAGATGACTTGATGGTTCCCACCAGTCCTCCTATGGAAGCATACGAGTAGCAGAATTCAATTCAAAATGTAATATGCAAAAT